AAGAACCAAATTAGTTTGCAGATGAGTGTATATTCGCTAATTTCGTGCAATTTGGTTTCAAGTAGAACATGAGGTTGACGGAAACCCGGGGACCTGATGAGCCCCAAGAAGGCCGAAACCGGTTGTGGGCTGTCGATGGATTTCCAGCAACCTTATGAGTAGTACATTACAAATAGAATATAGGGATCTTCACATGAAAATCACATCTGGTCAGCTGAAGGATATGAGAGTGTGATTTTATTACTCCTATTCATATAATTTTGTGGTAAATACGCCACGTTCATCACAAGCACAACATCATATGTATTTCACTTTTTGTACTGTTTTGTCACACTCTAATAAGAGAAATAAGAAGTCAATGAAATGTCTGCAGTGCTTTTTTGTTTACTGACCACACTACTTTCAAAGCCTATGGAAACTGTTGAATAGTCCACGAACGGTGTTGCTCTCCCTCACCTGGTAAGTTCAGTCCCCCAGCTTGCGTCAACCTGGTGTTTTACTTGGGCATCCAGTTGTATGCAATCGGAAAGTGTACCCATAGGACAATTAATGTGGTCTTAGAGGAATTAATCCCTGGTAAATCTCACGTTTAAGGTATTATTTAGCAACATTATGAGTGTTGCGAAAGAAAATATACTTCGATATCTCGAATGTCGTCCCAGCTGTAAAGCGAAACGGTCTTTTTACAACATATCCATTTGAAGAATATCAAGAATAGGAGATTAAGCAGTGAATTGTTTGAGTCTCCGGTTAACACCAACTTACTTTGCAAGTCAGTGTATTTCGCCAAACGTCTACTGCAATATTTTGTTGTGTATCTGGCATGCCATCTTACAAGAACGCGGAAATTCCCCTTCACCCTTGGAGTAACACTTATAGACCATAATTCCGGTACGTGACTTGTGGTACTTGGAAAGAGACTACACAAAAATAACCTGAAGTTAATCATTTGGTCGTTCTAGCGCGGAGAATATCAAACACCGAGTTGCTTCTGTCTTTAGTGGAATTGCTTATCTGTCCGTTATGGTCGAACCCAGTTGGNCTAATTTCGTGCAATTTGGTTTCAAGTAGAACATGAGGTTGACGGAAACCCGGGGACTGCGCCTACCTGATGAGCCCCAAGAAGGCCGAAACCGGTTGTGGGCTGTCGATGGATTTCCAGCAACCTTATGAGTAGTACATTACAAATAGAATATAGGGATCTTCACATGAAAATCACATCTGGTCAGCTGAAGGATATGAGAGTGTGATTTTATTACTCCTATTCATATAATTTTGTGGTAAATACGCCACGTTCATCACAAGCACAACATCATATGTATTTCACTTGTTGTACTGCTTTGTCACACTCTAATAAGAGAAATAAGAAGTCGATGAAATGTCTGCAGTGCTTTTTTGTTTACGGACCACACTACTTTCAAAGCCTATTGAAACTGTTGAATAGTCCACGAACGGTGTTGCTCTCCCTGGTACTCACCTGGTAAGTTCAGTTCCCCTAGCTTGCGTCAACCTGGTATTTTACTTGAGCATCCAGTTGTATGCAATCGGACAATTAATGTGGTCTTAGAGGAATTAATCCCTGGTAAATCTCACGTTTAAGGTATTATTTAGCAACCTTATGAGTGTTGCGAAAGAGAATATACTTCGATATCTCGAATGTCGTCCCAGCTGTAAAGCGAAACGGTCTTTTTACAACATATCCATTTGAAGAATATCAAGAATAGGAGATTAAGCAGTGAATTGTTTGAGTCTCCGGTTAACACCAACTTACTTTGCAAGTCAGTGTATTTCGCCAAACGTCTACTGCAATATTTTGTTGTGTATCTGGCATGCCATCTTACAAGAACGCGGAAATTCCCCTTCACCCTTGGAGTAACACTTATAGACCATAATTCCGGTACGTGACTTGTGGTACTTGGAAAGAGACTACACAAAAATAACCTGAAGTTAATCATTTGGTCGTTCTAGCGTGGAGAATATCAAACACCGAGTTGCTTCTGTCTTTAGTGGAATTGCTTATCTGTCCGTTATGGTCGAACCCAGTTGGGAAGAATTATGAAAGCGTCTTTTCGTCTGCCCTGCATTCGATCTGTGTTTGCGTAGAAAATATAACCTGGTTGACTGTTTGATAACGTTCGGCTCCATTTTTTCCACGACATGGCGAATTATCCGTTCCACTTAAATAGCTCCAGTAAATTTTGCGCCTCACTAGAAACATCTTTGAATGACACATATTGTTTGCTCAAAATCTGACACGATTAAACCTATTAACAAAACCGGTGTTGTAGTTATTCTACACTAAACGCCTTGCTTTTTATTGGTTTGTGGGCCAGGTGGATGATGGATAGCAGTACCGCAAAAGCATTGTTTCACCCATCACGTCTCGCTTCTTCGAGAAAACCCAACCGACAGATCCGTATGGAATCAATCTGTAAGATCACCCTACTATCACAACATATTGAAGGAATGACTCAAGCAGAGTTCAACACAGATCGTTTGTCATAACTTGACCTGTTTTGGATAGGTATTGCTCATTCAATGACGTTAGAAGCTGTGATCAAGGTGAGATTACAGATATAACGGCTACCCACTGTTGTTTTCTCTGGTCTCCCAGAATTGCACTACAAGTGGTATTTTTAGTCGATGACAGGCGTTGTACTCCTAGTAGAGCATTCTTCCACAGAAGACGGTTTATCACGGTTTAATCATTTAACCAAAGACATCATGACGCGCTCTTTGCGATTTCTATTAGTTACCTCTTCCTGATCCCTTCAAACGCGCTACAACATGAAGCGAGTATAGAGAAGTACATGAAACTATGTTGGAGGGAATCAATACAGACAACATCCGAAAACCCCTGTTTGAGTGGCCAGCAGTCCTCATTCTTCTTCCACTTTTTCCTCAATTTCGTCATCATCGTGGTAGACGGCGATAAAACAGTGGCAGTAATTAACTGACATATTCATAGAGAAAAGAGATTTTGGCGAAATATAAGAAAAAGGTGGGGAGGTCAAGAGTAGTTGCGAAAACCGTTATTCCTCTGGAGAAACAAATCAAGAGCAAGGCGCTCATAACTTCCAAAATTACCAAAAGAAACACACTTGAACCTCGTGTGTGGTTGCAAGGCTCCTCCAGAAGGATTCGAGTACCCTTCTGCGGGCCCCGCCCAAAACAAACCCAGCACAAAACAACAAAATTGTTAGCTAGGCAGTCCGGCTTTGAAGCAACAGCAAGCTGACAAGTGTGAATGGTTAGGCGTCATGACCTGTTGGGTCTTCAGGCACATATAAGCAGAATCAATTGTACTCCTTCATGGAAGGATCCTTGCGGAGGAAGCAGTTGTTACTGGACCATTGGTTTTCAATTTCACCAAAACCTAAACGAATCTCACGCTTTTTACCTCACTGGTTTACAGACCACCTGCCAAACTTGGCAAGCAGGCTATCCCGCCAGCTGTTTGTGAGCTCAACAAGCCATAATTTGTCAAACGATAGGCAGCGTTGTAGGGCACAGACTAGAGGAAAATGTATGCTACTTCGGAAAGAAAAGCGCAACATTTAATTGTGAATATCTCAAGGTGCAGACGTCTATAGGACCCCAGTGATGCACTGTTTGTAAGTGATTAGCTTACCTACCACATGGATTTCAAATCATGCACAAGACAGATCGTTTGCACCAGCGAGTTTTTTTGGCGCGCATTCGTCATGTCCAGTCCAATTTTGCATTTCATGGTCGATGATGCCCGTTATATGAAACGTTAAAAAACGCCTCATTTAAAAGGCAATTACCGTAGGTCGATTGTATTTACTCGCCAGTTTACAATTTTTTTATTGACTCACATTCAATTTCATTGCAATGCATTAGCGACAATCAAGGATCAACACAGGTTTGAAAAATCCAGATCATGAACTCATGAACCGGTCGGCCTAAAGGAAGACCGAGTTCGGTGCCACAGAAAATGGGTACAAGCGACAATACTCACATCTATCAGCGATCTTTTACCAGTACAGTCCTTGAATGGTGACAGCGCTCGGAAAGGGCCCAGTATGTGCACAGTGAAGAGCTGCCACACACCTAGGATGGGACAGACAGCGCTTGTTGTTGTGCCTAATGGGTAGCATGAAAAAAGTACAAATTTGAATGCTCGTACATAAAACAACAAGACAGCAACTTTACAGTTCTTTTCTTTCGTGTCAATATACTGTGATAAATCAAATATTATACCAATCGAGACAATGGGCAGCTTTACACAACACAGTCAGTTGAAGGAGACCACCATAAACAAAAGATTTAGCTCTATTCAGGTGAAACTCTAAATAAAACGAAATAAGTGTTCACAATAGTGAATTTCACGAAGACAACAAATATTGTATCCGGATATAGTGGCTTTTATTGGTGGGTGGTATCTGTTCATTCCCTGGTACTCCTTGAGGTACTCAATGAACGAGTGCAAAGGTGGGATAAATATCCCCCTAAACCGGACCTGTTAATCGGGGTTCGGTCCATTACGGTCCTTAAGTTTATCCGACGGTATACTTATGAGCAAAATCACTGTCGTTGAGCACTATTATTTATTAAGTCCGTTCTCTTTGACGAATTGTGCTCTGAACACTTGAGTCCCATATGTTTGAGGAAAAGTTGTCTTTCTCTTCATAAACCAGGTCAGACAAAGTAATCTCAAGAAGCAGGAGCATAATGAGTAAAATAGTTTCATTTGGGATCCCTCTTGTGTGCAATTGAAGATGTTCCGCCAAGACATCAAGATCAAGAGCGCAATTTCGCCCGCATGACGGTTGCTCGGTCGTGCATTGCAACAATGGGTAAGAAGCTGGAGCTATGGCACTGAGTGAGCTCTGTAACGCAGCAATATATCAGCACAATATTCTGTTGTAGTACTCAGCGAGACCACATCTAGTTTGTGTCCTTTGCATCCAAACTTTGCATCTTTTTTCTCATTTCAGCGGTCCACTCAACCAGGTGTGAAATCAAGTGACGAGGCAATGGACAACCATCAACTGGTTACGGTATCGTCAAATGAGAACAAAGAAACTGTGTCGAAAGGAATCACAACAAACAATACAGCGCTTGACTCTAGTCAACCCGACGATGGCAGCTCTCTACCGACTGACCTGATGAACTGTAACTATCCAGAAGTTGCGTCCACCCCCAGGAGACCGCGGACCTTCGGAGAGATCTCCTCCATCCGTGGTGTACAAAACATTTCGCGCGCCGAAACTCCATTCATCCGTTCTTTGTGGATTCTTTTCGTAATCACAATGACCAGTCTTCTCACAATTTTTTCCTCCTTTCTCATCAGAGATTATTTACTATACGAAACCAACTGGCATACTCGTACGCTACGTGACGATAAAACTGCATTCCCCTCGATCACCCTGTGTGCACATAATCCATTCTCACTAGAGGCCAACCGCTTTTGGCGTGAAGGTTCCACTCTTAATCCCAAACAAATTAATTCCCGCTTCACCGAAATCGCCACTGAGGTTCTTAGGCAACACAATGTAGCTTTCTCCATCAACTTGCTACTTCTCGATAGCATCGAAACCTTCTACACGAATCTGGACCCCAAAGTTCGCTACAACATTGGACACAAAATGGAAATGTTCCCTCATTGTATGGTGACCAGCGAGAGTGCACATATTGTGGCGGAGAAGTGCAAACTGGAACTCGATACTGAGTTGCATCTTCACCGGATCTCTCACCCAAAATACTTCAACTGTTGGACCATCGAAGGCAAAGCACTCGAGGCCACGAAAGAAATCACCCGGCTGATTATGTTAGTACAACTGGTACCGTCTAAAAAGATTAATGAGGCCAATCTGTCTTTCATCATGGATACATTCACTCGAGGAGAAGGTGTGATAAGTGTGGTGCATGAGCCCGGTACCTATCCAGAGATCGAAAAACACGGAATCAATATACAACCGAACCGAATGAATCAGATTATATATAAACCGGTGTTATGGAACCGACTAGCTACACCAAAGGCTCCGTGTAGTGATCAACCCCCACCAATTAGCGATCTGGGTATAAATTACACATATACCCAAGGACAGTGTCTGAACACGGTTGTACAGGAACAGCTATTAGCAAGATGTGGTTGTTTGAATACCGAATATCCTAGACCTGCAAGTACGGATTTTCCTGTTAATCCCACCCCCTACTGTACGTCGTTAAACGAAAGTTTGACGAATCCTGAAATGGCCTCAAGGCTGATAGAACGATTTCAATGTATCGGTGAGGTGATGGATCAACTTAAGAAGATTAAAGAGGAGGCAACGCGGCAGGGTCGGTGTCCACCTCGATGCAGTTACTTCACCTATGAGAATCGACTTAGCGTAACCTTGTGGGATCCGAACGCGCACAACTTAGCTGCATACACAGAACGCTACCGGAAGCTTGATGGTCTGTTGAAAGCGCACAGTAGTATGAACATGACAAATTCATTCGTCAGTTACTGGAACGCTTCTATGCAACAGTTTAGCTCGTTGGATTTCGAATCTCATAACCGACCGGAACAATTTGCCGAATACAGCCAATTTGTAGATGGATCCGTCACCTATATAAGTTTAACGAGACAAGAGTTTGAAACCACGGTGATGGATGAACACCTCGTCTTTGATGTGTACATTCTTATATCCAGAATCGGTGGATTGTGTTCACTATGTATCGGGCTGACCATGGCATTTTTTATAGAGGTTGTGGAATATGCATATATGCGACTGCTCTACAACAGAATGAATGAACAATCACGAAAATGGGGTTTCCGCAGACCAGCGCATGTTACTCAGACAAACGTCCCTTCAACGGAATTAAGCAACATTGACGGTTCCAGGACAGTGTTAAGGAGAACACGCAGAAAACGTTACAGGATGTGTTGTTGCCATCGGCCATGGCCCAAGTCATCGTCAGTGTGAATATTGAATGTCTTGTCGATTTTTCTGTCTCTCTAAACTGTGATTGGTCCTCTTAACTATCATATTGTTGCGCTGATGAATCGCTGTTCAACTCTAGGACTGAGCAGATCCTGTCCCCTATCACGGTATGTTTGTTTACAGACATCGTACTTGAGAATAAGATTTTCACTTTAACAGACTGCACAGTACCCTTGTACGTACGTTGGTAACATAAAACGTATTACCTATTGCCACTTCAGCGTGGTTACCCGCCCTATCAGGTTATTTTGCCGTTTCTTCTCTAAATCCATGTTGTGGGTACATGTGGTTCTTCGTGGTCAGGTATTATAAGGACGAGTTACACCGAATACTACACCGAATATTAGACTAACTGAAGCTCATCCACAAGGAATTAACCACAAGGTCGCATTGTATCTTTGCGACGTAGATGGGAAAATATGTGAACTCAACATTGTCTCCAGGTAGCCTGTCAGTGAAGACACACCTGGCTGGGTGCTATAGATTACCGACAGCAATCACAGGCAAATTTATGATCTGAGTCCACAGCCGAATTCAAACGGAACTGCGAAATAATTATGAAAGCATGTAAACACGGATAACGCATAGAAAGAATGAAGCTGCCTACAGCCTCTTTTTTTGACTTCGTTGACTCGACAGGTGTTCCCTTCCTAGGATTTCCTAATCATTTAAATATCACCTCCCCTTTACTGTCATATGATCAATTTTACCTTTGTCAAGGTGGCAGTTCTGATCTATTTCCTGACTAAGCTGACATCAGAGACCTGCGTTTAGTTGTAAACTAGGCAAACGTTCCATCATAGCAGTTTCCAAGCTTGTTGAACAAGTCAAAAACTAATGATTTCACCCGAGATATGATTATTCCACAACAGCGACTAAACTGAGTTTCTTCTATATCAGCATGAAACTCGTAAAACACCGTTCAGTCATACATTGGTATGCCGATCAAGATATAAAAATGACCAATTTACGGGTGAACAATGAATGACACGATATCCCGTCTGACAGTGAGAAAATCATAGTGCTGACCAGCTGTTCGTGGCCACATGTTCGCGACCACGAGATTGTGGATTCGAGTACCTGGAGTTTCATAAGGTTCGCACTGCCGATGATTATCAATAAACATAAAATGACTGTGCAACGCTTCTAGGCTCTTCAGCATAGACTGGCCTCGCTGACAGGAAGAGATCTGTTGGAAATTCCTTAGTGTATTAGCACTACTACACACATGTTGTAGTGCACCAGGTACTCATTAAAACGATATGGAATCCCACCAGACTGCTCAAGAGATGCCGACACATCAAGGGCAACAATTTGTTTGAACACCAGACCACGAGACCGGTGATGAAAGGTTTGCGATTCACTGCCAAGCCCAACGAATAGACCAATAACCAAGCAGCGCACACGATCTACCCATAATCCGCAACATCGACAGTAAAATGTAATCAGTACAACAAGAAGGTGCAATAGCGAATTACGAAAGAACCAAATAAGCCTCCCGTTTATGATATTCCTAAAGTTTGCCCCAGGTTTTGTTAGTTGATGTTTTATTTGTCGTTCACGTACAATATATGATTGATCAGGATTCGGGCAGTGCATCAAACTGCTTAGCTTCGTAAGCGTGAACTAGCCAGTGTTTTGTCAGAGAGTTTCCTGGAAGCTCCTGAAGGGTTTATAATGTAATACTTATGATGTTGCTGAAAATCGGTCGACAACCCACCACCGGTTTCGCCCATTTTGGGGCCCATCAGGTAGGTGCAGTCACCGGGTATCCGTCAACCTTATGTTCTACTTGAAACCAAATTGCACGAAATTAGCGAATATACACTCATTTGCAAACTAATTTGGTTTTTAGAGAGACTCACCTGGAACTTAGTTGAACCTCTCGTTTGTGATGTTTCCTAAAGGGTTCTTTCGAATCGCACAATATGATCTTACCAGAAGTTGATTTAAGTCTTTCCTAGCTGCACTAATTATCCAGGTAAGGTCATAAAAACTGAAGACTGCTCTCTTCCCACAAAGTGCACGTCCATTGTCTAATAAATTCAAGGCAAACAAGTAGTGAGCAAAAGCTCCACTCTCTGTGATGCGCACTTGCTTCAGCAAACCGTTTGCTGAAGCAAATGCATACAGGTCTTTTAGCATTGAAGTTGAACCTTGCACAAAGATAGACTTTAACCTTTTCTGACATCTACTTGGCAACCTGGCAACCCAGACACATTGGATTTTTGAATTACGGGCCTGTTAAGGGCTCCGGTTAGTCGTTGATGAGGTTGCTTTCTTCCCTTGACTGTCCACCGCACTCAGTCGTTTGACATATGGGCTGAGCTAAAATACCTACATACCTAGCGTGGTTCGGTCGCTGAATTGGGCTGACGGATCACTAAGCAAGGATCTGTCGTCTTGACCATTGTCTTTTCAACCTCTTATGCTGCCAGTTTATCTTTCCTGAGAACTCGTTTACCGCAATATGTGTCGCACTAGATTTGCTAACTGTGGCAGGTAAGTAGCTAGTACAACCAGTCTCCTCCGGTAATTTATGGTTGCACACGGGATTCGATACTTTCAGGGCACGTGAATCTAGACAGAAGGATCATTAAGTCCCTCAAACAAAGCCTTTGGCTCAAAAGTCCAACTGAATGGTAGCGATTCAGTGCTCACATACCAATTTTTGTAATTGGAAATGAAACTGTGACTGTTCCAACCCAGAACTTGGAGGACTGATCGACTGTTTTCATCGGACCCTTGTCCACTGACCAGCCTGTTTTTAAAGGCCCTTTGGAGATCTAAATCAATAAAGCTGAGTGGGTTACGGAGCTACCCAAACCGCCACAAAGCGAAAATAGTCAGTCTCCTTTCAGTGGGATGAATGTGGATACTTTTGCTTTATACCATAGTGGTTTCGTGTCTGACTGTGATTGTTTGCAAAGGTTAAGTGCAGTAATGCCAGAAGACCAGATTACCCGGGGATCTGAGATGGCATGATCAACCAAAGCGTATGATAACCATACTCTAGAATGTATCGAGACCCGAAACAATACTTGGAATGGTGAGGCCTCAGGGTTGCATTGCAGTGGTAAGCCAATTCAAAATCCACGTAGCGGCGAGCGGCCGAACTGCAAATCACTATGGGAAAGCGTGTGCGCATTTATGCCGGACAACGCAATTCTCTAGCAAAAAAGCGATCATTACATTGTGTTGAAACTCGCCGACGCAGGATGAGAAACGCTTTGCTTTACGTGTACGACATAATCCAGTTACCCACTTCGCTTAAAATTGAGTCAATGACAAATAGCTCGCGCTTTTTGGGTATTTCAGATTGACGATTCATACATTCGTTGTGGGGATGCCTGAAACGATTCGTTTACTCCACGAAACAGTGCAAGTACAGTTTTATGAACGAGTACAAAACGATTCGTGCGTTGTGGATGGTTTGTTCATCTTATGGTTTTGTTTCGGCCACTGTATATTACTCCTATAAAGGAAACAGAATTCCTATAGAGCCCTGACTCTAATTACCATGTTTTAACATTCGATCATAACATGTTTCGTCGTACAACCAACAAGTAAGAGCAGGCGAGTGAATGCGCGTAGAAGCTGCGGCTACATGCTGGTCACCGACGTTTCAAAGAAGCTTCTTTCAGCGAGCTTTACCTGAAATTCAAGCAAAGCCCAAGAGCCATTCTTGTAACATCGGAATAATGTTTTGGCTTTCTTGTAACTGTTGATGCAATCGATCCTTCTATAAACGCATGTTTGTTGTAGGTACACTTGTTCTCATGTGTTTTCTGGGAAAATACCGCATGCTTCCTGAAAGAAGTTAGGCATCCATCACGTCTGTTTATGGAACATACCATATCTGTTGAGAAAAATCTAAAAGCTTGTACAAGTTTTCTTTTCAGGCTTTTACGCCTTATGATGCGGCTAAATAGAACAAAACATGTGATCGTTTACTTGAGTTAATTCTAGGCAGTGTATGTTGCTTATCTGTTGAGGAAAATCTAAAAGCTTGTACAAGTTTTCTTTTCAGGCTTTTACGCCTTATGATGCGGCTAAATAGAACAAAACATGTGATCGTTTACTTGAGTTAATTCTAGGCAGTGTATGTTGCTACTTCATGTCGATGTCCACCTACTCCGCCTCATGAACACTAGAGAACATAGGCGAGTGTCGGTTGTCTCCTAGCTAACAGACCAAACAAGACAGGGAAGATGAACCCCAGTTGTTTGCACGCAAATGACCGTCTCCAGAGGTGTCACTAGCCTAAGCTGACCTCTTTTTGGCAAATTGACCGAGATGTTGAGCGGTGTTTAGAACTCAGAATAGGCTTCCTCCCAACTGAGACCCTGGGCTGTATTCCGGGACATGGTTTACACAAGATGCATCTCAGAAGAAAGCTAACATTCAATCAGCTACTTGTTTAACGTGTACTCAGGGCAAAACAAAATCAATACGCATGAACTGTCATTTTTTTACAGCTAACTAACAGTGGAAGGGTCTCAAATACCAAACAATCATCAAGGAATTAAATCGGATTTCCCCCACTTAGTGCAGAGTCCGAAAGAACTGAGCGTGTAAAAACTAACTCGATTCTTGAACACTTTAATGTCGTAATAAATCGGGGATTTATATTGAGAGAAGTCTGTCGTGGTGCATTCTGGAACAGATGAACTATTAGTTCCCTGCGAGACTGGGCTTTTTTCTTTCGATAGAGTGAGAGAGAGCAGTTTGGCACAGAAACTAGGACCCTACCTACCCTGCACTCTGTGTAGAGCAAATTACATTTGATGCCAGAGCGATTTATTGGGTTGATTATCCGTCAATTTGGTAAACGGCGAAATAACTAATGAGACAAACCGCATCTAGAATGCGATAACAGTCCCCTGAAATGAGTTTTACCGGTACTACTTATTTTCGGCACATTCTTGAGGCTGCGGACTCGCTTAATTAGTCATATCATAGCGACCAGACAACGTTCTCATTCTAGGTCTTCACGCCAGAGCGTAATATTGGCTTAAGCCCAATATCACTTGGCGAGATCATGGCGTGAATTATTTTGATTGACAGCACATCCGGTATGACACAACTTAGACTAATGGTCTCATTTGCATGCAAATTCGGTTTCGACAGGAGACTCAGATGGATTCAGCTAACTCTCTCGTTTATGGTGGTCCGCTTGAAGCGGCCAGAAACAGCATTTTTAGTTGAGACAGACCACCATTAGCGACAGATTCAACTGGATTCACTTGACTTGCACGCAAAACCGAATCCGTTGGCACATGTGAGCAGTTATCGATATCTTTCTCATTTGGGTTCAAGAAGAACATAAGGTTAATGGAGACTGTGCATACCCGATGAGACCGGAGCGAAAAGGTCAAACCAGTCGTGGGCTGACAAAGAGTTTTCAGCAACATCATGAATTGTATGATACTTTCTAGACATGGCACAACTTCACTTATTCCGTCATGCCAGAGTGCAAAATGGATAGTCACTGAGGCCGGTCGTAAACCCGGTAGCACTAATTTGGCAGTTGTTTATATCCTTGTTTGATGCCAGCTAAGTAACGTGCGATTCATTTCCCTTCATAACCTCAAGCAACTGTAGGAAGTTTGAAGTGCACGCAATGCAATTGACCTATCGAAAGTCCATGTGCATCAGTTTGGGCACAGTTTCGGAGCTACAGTCAAATGGATGCAAAGACCTTGTTTTCACTGAGTATTTGTCATGCGTTTCCATTCATTTCACCTGTGGCTTTGTGCTTCTATGAGAATGAATCGATAGGTAACCGAAGTTATATTGTTAATGCTCTAACGGAACCCGAAAAGAAAATATACGAACGAGAAAACGGGGAGCACTAACAATGTCCGCTTGTTGAGTAGACTTATTACAATAGATATATATGCAAACAAGGGACTTATCGTTTCGCAGGTACAGTTTGATAAATCCTGTTGTAAATCCGGATGCAGGTTTCGTGTCTTCTTCGCTGTTGTAACAGCCACACGAAGTCTTGGATATCCGTGAGTGAAACGCCGTAAAAATCCTGCGCGGCTCTGCTCCGAGCTGGGCTACGTGCGAAGCTCTGTTGAGTTGTGTCGTGTTGCTGTGCTGGCATCCTATTTGTAGGACGTTTGCGTGTGTGTGGGTGTCAGCACATGACTTTTTGCTACCGTATCAGACGGTAGACAGTCGATATCGGGTATCGTGGTTTGTACTATTAGGGAAAAAAACGAGGTCTTGGGATGAAGGGCTTGACTGTGAGCTGTGTAGTCAAGTTAGTCACGATTGTAGCGTGATTTGCGAGTGCAAGGAAAAAAATAGATCTCGTGATCCAGCGAGTGGCGGTGACCTGTACAATCATGTATGTGGCGAAAGGGTGGCTACAATATCAAGTTGTCCTAGTGTTGTAGGAAAGTGCCTGTAAGTCTCCAAGGCTAAGTAGGAAAGTCCATAACATTGCGAACCTGTGTAAAGCTGATATGTTTTGTACTAGCATTTTAAGCTCAGTGTCAAAGGACCCTGGTGTTAGAATTGACCTTAGGACGTCCTGTTTGTGCTAGTTTCTTTCAGTCCACTCTTGCGACCTGAGTCCCAAATGATATTTAACGAAGCCATTTCTGGTAGTAAAAATCACGGGGTATTTTCGATTGCGGCGATATGAATCTGAACACATCAGCAATAAACTACAGTCTGCGGATCAAATGACTTCATAGCCGTCTTGATAGCAATCTATTCCAGACACTAAGACCCGGACATAACTCAAAGAAACCCATTGACCCAAAATGGTTGGTTGTCACTGGCTGTTTGTATCTTGGTTTATGATTTAGACTGTGATAAGGCAGTTTGAGTAAGGTCGATTTCAGCTCCTTAGAGGCCAGTGGTTCAAATATCTGTTCGCATAATCATTTTTGTGCAGTCGGTTTTTTAACCAAGTTATTGAAATTTGAAACCTACTGACAACTGTTCTAAAAGGAGTATAACAGGTTGAAACGAAGGAGGATAGTGTACATATCTTCCTGGGTTGGTCTCGAACTTCATACGAGGTGTGGAGGATTTTTGGCTAACGAATTTCTTCTCCCTAATATCTGCTTAAAAAAGATGAGTTTAACTTAAATGCTGTGGTCCTAGTAACAAATTTTATACCACTTGTTGTTACGCATGGTGGCGATTGGATCAGTTTCTTACCTGTGAAGATTCGGCCATTGTAGCCTGTTTCTCGTGTCACGGACTATTCTTTTGTGTCAACTGCAGCCAATATTGTCTCGACGCAATGTGTCACTCATAGAGTTGCTAAAATCTATTCGATGATGCATGACAGGTTTCTCTCTTCTTCTTGGGGTTTATCGGGTGGGTGCAATCACCCAGTTTTCGTCAACTTGACTTTCTGTTTGAAACCACCATAGATGAGAGATTCAGCTGGATTCATTGGCGTCTCCTCACAAAACAACAATCGTGCGAAAACTAGGTTATTTGTCGTGACCGATTTTCTTATAAGGGTTCTGAGGTCGAACGTCGAGTTATTTGAATGCCTGCCCTGTGTCTGGTGTGGGTACGCAGATGTTATGCTTGTAACGACGCCGCGTAAAACATATCTCTGTTTTGTTTCCTCAGCACGATACCCAATCTGGTGTCTTTCAATTTTGCTGTGCAGCCTGACGAGCATTCAAAAGTATTACTAAGTTTTTTGGTCAAGGCTAACAATCAGCGATGTATTGACTCAGGGTTATATCAGAAAACGGGACCGTTCCAAATAGCGCCTGACTAATCGATCGTCACATTTTCAGCATGAAGTGAACTGTGGCGCAACCACCACAATCAAAACAAGTAGGCCTTGTCTGATTGAGGCTTCAAAAGGTGACCAGATTGAGGGCATCTAGACAGACCTCAGTAAACGAAGTGATGTCCTGCGATCTTAGTGCTCCTTGACTCCAAGGATGCGTTGGATTCTGTCAACCAGTTCGTTCTTTTCAACATTCTTGCGCAACAGGATTTTCATCCAGAAGTTCCTGAGTATCATACGCTGTTGGTATTCACATAGTTGTGGACGACAGAAACCGCTGCTTTTCAACAAGCGGTGGTATCCAAAAGAAACATTCACTCTCTTTTTGTTTAAGTTCGTTATTGATGAGATACTGATGTGGGTAATGGAAGATCGCTAAAACCCTGGCGTTCAGCTCTCTCCGAGCAAGAACCTTGTTGATATGAAGTATGCAGACGACATTGTTTTTATTCTTGAGAAAGATCAGGAAGCATAAGCATTGCTTGAAAAGCTGATCAGCCCTTCACCAATTGCGAAGTCTCCCTGTACATGCTTCTGATGTGTATGCCGGAAGTTGCATCACTTCTGAGGGTTAGTGTGACAGATGAGGTGAACGAAAAGTATGGATGTCGTTGATCCTGTGCGCCCTCCAGGATATGCTTGGCTGAACGATATGGAAGCCTTCCGAGGTCAATAGCGTTCACACTGTTAGCTGGCATCCAGATTATATGACTAAGTATTGGAGGCGCATATACCTAGAATTTTTGTGGAAGGGCAGATATACGTTCATTGCCAAAGCTGTATTTCTTTCTTCTTCCCATTTTAAGGCCTTAGTCAAATAAATTGACATAGTAGTGAAGGACCGGCGCTTTCATCTGGTTTTGCTGTCAACGATGACAATGATGAAAGGACAGTGAGGCGAAATAAACCAGGTTGAACCCAGAAATGCACTCTGATCAAATCGATTGCGTCCATGAAGGGACTGTGATCTAATAAACATAGATGAAACTAGTTAGTTACCGCTGATGCCAATCTGTGGACATAAAACACACGCATATTTTGCGCCCCTGAGCAACTCCACAAGCCAGAAAACTTCTCGGCGGTGGCACCTCATGCCCTGCTCTGCGTGCACCACTTTCCAAACCGGTTTTATTGTTTTCTTCGTCTTATAAGCTCTGCAGTCTATTGGCAGCTGCAACAGCCATCTGTTGCTTGGTTTACTTGGCGATTGTTATGCTAGCTTACAGGTCGCCTGGGTTATGTTATTCATCACAGCATTAGGTGGCTTCTTCAGGACACGTTTTATGTTTTGCTTCCAGTCTAAATCTCCCTGAATCGAAATGGAATACTCATTTGTTTATGAGGGTCATTAACATGGCAGACTGCTGTGCTTGTCTGTAGGGTGTGAGTGGTGGGGGAATTTGCCCTCAAAGGAGGGATCGTCCCCTAGCTGGTGGGATTAGATGTGTGTATAAAATTAACAGTAAAGATCGCCCTAGGGCGTACTTAGGACGAGCGGTCATGGAGCTGCACATCAGAAGGAGCAAGCACAAGCAATGCGTCAACAGAACACCGAGAAACGAAAATGAACACCGGGCGATAGCTGGATACTTATCAAAAGCGGGTCAGACACAAGAGGGATTTGGAATATGGGAAAGTTTTGAAATGAAACCTACACCGGAGAAACTGGTGGCCGAGACGGTGGAAATTACTGCGCATCTCAACTTGAATAGTCCAGAAGACGCAGAACTGGCAGATATGGTGGGGGGGGGGGGAAAGCAGTCTAGATGCGCGTGGCTTAGTGTGTTTATGAGTAAAATGGTCCGCATCTAACTCACAAATCTCAAGCAAATGAAAATCCACTAAATCTCCTAACCCATAGCCCATAAACGTCAACGAAATTCTTGGACGATACCGAAGCGGAAATTTCATTAANTTGGATGATACCCAAGCGGAAATTTCATTAAAATTCTAAAACCCAACTTAAGTGGATGCTAATTTCCACCTAGCCAATTCATCCCGAGTGTGAGTCATTCCCACCAATCGTTATATCTGCTGGTTCGTCAATCTGTGGTAACCACTGCTGACACGCTCCAGCGCCTAGTTGCCGAAAGACTCACAAAGGGGAACACAGCGGCTATATTCTGAACAAGCGAGTGTGAGAGCGCGAGTGCGTGCGAGCGCGAATGTACAACGGTCTCAAACTATTTATTGGAGGGACACTGTCTGAACTTAGTCCAATGCTGACGCACACGGTCTGGCTTTGGTACGAGGCCGCGGCTTGCTGCATATTGAGGGGGCGTTGTCTGACCTTGATCAGCGCTATCTCGGGCTAGCTGGGTTTGAGACAAGGCTGTGAAGCGCTGCATAGTGAGGAGGCGTTGTCTGTCTGGTCAGCATCTAGCGGAGTTGAGTCTCAGTAGATTTCGGGCACTCAGTGGTTGCTTTCAGGAAGCTGACGTTCCTGATACTAATCAACAAAAGTTTTCGTCAACATCCAACCAAGGAGCACATACCTGAAATGCCTCGTCTTAGAAGATCATATTTGCTCCTGCGCTTCTTGTGTGTTGGTCCCGATAACGAAAAAGGATCATCCAGTGTATGTCACTGAGTCGCCGTTCGAGTCGTCTGGCCTACCGCTCACGCCCCTTAAGTGCAGACATGCTCGACAGGTCACACGTGGAAATTCAGGTGCGTCCAGTGCTCTCTGGTGGAGTAGTGGTACCACACTCGCCTCGCATGACAGATGTGCGGAGTTCAAACCCCGGCAAGGCCGAAGATGTGCACTACTGATGAACTAATGTATGTGCACTGATAGAAGTTTTTAGTATGGTTGCGATACGTATAGAAATAAATACAGTGCGAAATGGGAGGGATTCAAAAGGGAATTTATCGTATGTGGGGATCCCTTGATAAAAGTCCGGACGACAGGAACGTGTTTTTCTTCGCAGTGCGGCTGCTACACGTGTTCCATGATTGTCCGTGGACTTGTGGAGCGGTTGACTTCCTGCTCCCTGCGCGCATGCGAGTGTGTCCCGACTGGATTCGGTTTCCCTTTGTGTAGGTCCCAGTGCGTGTACGTGGGCACTTCGGCACATGAGTGGTTGCTACGCTGACTGGGCCGTGCAGACAACCGATGTCCGATGAGTCAGCTTACTGTGACGTGTTTGTGAGTATGAGAAAAAAGACAAGCCTCGTGATCGAGTGAGTGACTCTGAGCCGAAGAGTTAAGTGTGTGGGTGACTGGGTTGCTACAGCCTCGCCCTTCCAAAATCTCGCAGCCTCCCAAAACTCACTCGAATGCAACCATTGCTTCAAGATGCCTACTATTACTAGACTGGCAGATTTTCACAGCCTAATTTCAGCTGCGTGATCTCAGTTGTTGTGTACTCAATCCTTCAATGTGCATTATCATGAAATGAATCGTAAGGAAAAGGAACATCTAATGTAGATGAAACGATTTTTCTGAACATACCAAAGTAAGTTTTCTAAAAGAAACAAAAGAGTACTTTCATTCTCAAACATGTACTGATGAAATTGGAGTGAGGATACGCAGACACTCTCTAACACCAGCGGCTCCTCTCACTGGAGGAACCAGAAACTTTCGAAGCCTCTACGATCGGCAATGCAACGCAGAGCTTATTCTCCTGTGACACTGAATAATTAAGCATTTTGAATGTAACTTGATATGGCTAGTAACAAAAACATGCGTCGATTTCATCCTATATCTTATTTCTCCCGAATGTTCGTGCGGTTCCAAGTGCAGACTGATGAAGCTTGCTTCGCAGTTTGAAAATCGTATGTGTGGGTTATCTGAACCGAACCATTCTTCCTGTGTAACAGTCTCTACTTTGTAAGGAATTGAGGTCCTTTGTAAAGTACTACTCATAAAGTTGCTGAAAATCCGTCGACAGCCCACGACTGGTTTCGCCCTTTTTTTGGGAGGGGGCTCATCATGTAGGCGCAGTCCTCGGGTTTTCGTCAACCTTATGTTCTGCTTGAAACCAAATTGCGCGGATTGAGGTCCTTTTACTTTGAACAACGTCCCAAAATCTGAAGTTTCCAGTGGTATACCGCAAACAAAGTGTACTTTGACGTTCAAAGGAGGACCGTAACTGAGTCATCCAGACATCTGGTACAGGCGAAGGACTTGAAGACATTTAAATCCTCAACAATTGCTATCACGTCTTCCTTGGAAGGTAACTTTGAATGAAACAGATTCAGGGCGACATAAACTATTAAAATGACCTACATCGGTTCAGTCGCTCATTGTACATGGGCATCGCGAATTCACGATGACATTCATGTGGAAAGCTTCATCAGATAACCATTATTCTATTGTATTCTAATAGCGATTTTTTTAATAAATTGCTTTCAGCAGGTGGCTAGGAATATCTACTGAGCAATGCTTTCAGGAGGGAGTACTGCTGCTTTCTAACCACACGTCTATTGTTTACTTTTACAGATGTCCGTTGTTGACAGATCCCAAGAAAAGGAAAATGAATGTCTCTTTCTCAAGACGAATTGAGTACCGTATTATTTACACAGTGAATAAGTGAGAGTGAAAGCCGAGTTCAACAAGCAACTGGCTAGAAGTATTTTGAGCAGCAGTTCAAAAGTAGTGCCCCCCCCCGCCCGAAGCAATTACGAAATTGATTCACATCTTCTGCATCTTCGTTTTTATCCCAACCGTTTCATTTGTGTGTGTCTAGCTTGATTTAATAACAGATCGAAATCATTCGGACAATGGAAGGTGTGATTTTTCACTGCAAATCAGAGAAGTAAAATCGCCTCAACAGCAAGGTTTTTTGATGAGCCTACTGTGGGGAAGAAGTGTGGTTTTGTGTTAATTCGAAAGATGTGATATTCTAAGGCTGGAATATTAAACAACGAGCTACGGTTCTAAAGGTTTGCTGCTGTAGTTATAGCTGCTACGTTTGGTGATGTGAATGGTGCTTCATGCTGCATTAAGCACCTCTATTTTTCTATCTTTGACAGTGGTCCTCCAATTAGTTCTTAGCATGCACCACTATCCAAAGGTTGCAGATCACTTATTCTAGATAGCGTGATAACTACGCATCAGCAGTGTTAGGAAATTGGGCCCCAATTAGGTTATCAGGCTCTAACTTCATCGAGAAAATGGGACATTTTGACTTGAAAATTGTCAGTTGGCGAAAGACCGGAGATGTTTTCTGGCAGTTAGTTGTTAAGTGCGGCTTTCAAGTAATTTACTCCTTCTCTCTCTTCCTTAATACTTTGTAAAACCCTTCTTAGCAAGTTATACTGGCACCCAAATAGACTACTTTGTGGTGGCAAGTGTCTCTCAAGAGCTTGACTTACCGAGTTGATTATTGAAAGTCAGTCTCCAAAAAAACTAGATTGGTGAATGATACAATAGGTGGTTCACCAACCTCATCACCGGAAAAGGGAACACTAGACAAAACTGGGCGTTTTCAATGATTCATCTTGGGTTGGTACAGATAATATATGGGATCGTACATAGTGAAATTGAGCCAACTGTAAACCAACAGGTAAGTGTGGAGATGTTGGTCAGGGCAAAGATTATCCAATATATGGCTAATTGGCTGAGTTGTGTGAGTCATGGGTATTATTCGGCCAATTCAGATCGCTTCTCTGCACAAAGTTCGGGCGTAAGGAGTCGAATGGCGATAGTCCCGGTGATCGTGAGATCGAGCAACCTGACTGCTTCAGGCCGGGTTTGTGGCACTTGGTACACGATCTGAAATGCGGTGTTTGATTAAAAACATGCCCATAGAGGATCATCGGGACTAGAATAAATGACAGTCACTCGTTTCATGACTTTTAGGATGTCCGAAGAATTTGAAAAGATGAGGTGGTTCTATTGTCGTTCCCAGTACCACGTACACTGTCTGTTTTACTGGTGGCGTACACTAAGTTCTTAACCCCTATGTTGGGTCAATCACCAGGACTGAATCGACCTATTCCAATGAGATATCTCCATAGTACTCACACGAGAAAACTGTCTTCTTTGGAAGTGTGGACGTCGAAGTCCTGAATTATGTATCCTGGCATTAGAAACTACATTGCGTGTTTGTAAACCAGAAATGCTCCACAAATCTACCAGTTCGGGTGGCCTGTTTCTAGGTGAAACTGATGAAATTCCAGGTTGAAAGAAAAAATCGTGATGATTAGGAGAAAAATTTTCCTTGTTTTGGTCCGAATAAAGGACACAGAGTTTAGTCCGTTAAAATATATATATATATAAAACGGAGCACATCGCATCTTCATGTTGACTTGTATTTTCCGTATCACCATAACACTGAACAGTATCCAAAATAATTCAGCTTAGGGTTTATAGAGAAGCATTCTTTCCAATTCGCCACAAACTGAAGAAGATAGTGGACTGTATTTCATAAAAAGTAACGGTGAATCGATCACAAAGGACACGAAATACCAAGGGGGCGGAACCTGTATACAGCAATTCTCAGCCATTGGACTAGAGACTGACTCCTTGAGCAAGATTACATCTGGGAGACCAGATAATAGATAACCTACCCAGCACCTTGAATTTCGTTTGTATTAGTCGTCCTAGAAATAGCGTAACTGCACGCTTATTCACAGCATTTTCAATCAACATAATCTGATCACAAGTGATGAAAGAAATAACAGTCGCTTCAGCAGAAGTGCTTGTCAAAACGGACAAGTGAGAGGCAGTTGTTTTGCGCACAGATAACTGTCATCCGCGGCAGATTGTTATCAATGAAATGTTATCACGTTTA